CATAATGAGTAATTAAGGGAACTCTCTTTCTTTCTGTTTCTGATTTAGTTATAACATCACACCTTTAATATAATCTGAGTTGTTTAACCCGTTACTTTTAAATGCAATGATTTATTTTTAATAAGTTTAACTTTTATAGTGTTTGTTTTTCTGTTCTATCTAATTGAACGTCAATTTATATTTTTTTACTTCTGTATTTCTATCTTGCAAAATATAAAAATTTAGTTAAAAGATGTTGAAACGATAAAATAAACATACTTTATATATAATTAGTTTACAAAATTTTGTTAGTATTAATTAATTAAGATTTTTTATCATTATTATGATTTTTAAATAATTATGGTTAAATTAATAAGCTATACATATGAATTTATGATTATATGCATACGATATTTTACTCATAATTTTTTTGTGTGAAAGAAATAGAGGATTAGGTTTTCTACCACAATTAGGAAACTAGTAAGTTTCAAAATTGAAGGATTACGGTGTTGCGATGCGTCCAATAATTTTCTGTGGAAGAGTCAAAATCTTGATTTGCACATGGATTGTGGAAAACAATCTTACCATAAAGAAAACCATAGATTGATCAGTGATAGTTGACAACTCGCCAACGCCGTAGAGTGAACGAGACTTTTTTTTTTTTAAAATATTTTTTTTATAAATTTCTTTCACGGATTTGATAAATTTGTATTTGGCTGGGAAATTAAATTGCTAGGTGTTATTAAAATATACGAATATAATTTTCCTCTTAGAAAAAGAGGAATATAAAATACTCATAACAATAACAAAGGCTTTAATTACTTGCTTTAAATAATAACCTTCGGTTTTTATTGCAATTGGTTCATGCAGAAAATGAACATCTGTAAAGTAAGCGCATGAGAAGGGAAAGAACATTATTCTTTTTTACTTTATACACCAACTAATTATTTATATTTTTAGGATCAATGATAGAGTATAGTGTATGCTTTATGGGTTCATCCTTTTGACATTTTCTCAATTTTTGGTAGGTCAGAAAATAGAAAATACTATGAAATTAAGGAACACGAAGTGCTCCTAATCCATTTTATTTCACAAATATACCGATGGACCACTTGATTATACTAGTTAACTTCAGCAATTAATTAATTAATTTTTCATTTGCAAAACAAGACAAAACATATTATTAGGGAACTTTTTTCGTCTAAACACAGGATGATAAGGTGTCACGTGTCGACCGACACAATGTCAAGAAACTTTTCTTTAGTGAAATTTGTTACCTTTTCCTTTCTGGGCCAGAAAAATTGAAATGACAAGTTAATCACGTTGTCTAATTTACTTATGGGGCAAAACGTCATAATAAGAAGATTTACATTCGCTTAATTCGCAAGAAAGAGTGGTCTCAATCTCAATTAATAATAATAACGATGTGCCACTCCTTTATTAAGGTTTCTTATATTTGCATGAAACCAATCTAATTTTCGTTTTTGGGCCAGTCACTCCTCTTTCCC